TTCACTCACATGGCCACAACCCAAATGCAAGGGGGACAGGGAAATTGTAGTTTTCTGTGGTCCTGGAAGTGTAGTATAGTGAACATACAAAAAATGATATACATACCACATTAGAATATAATCTCTTGCGTCACATGATTCTTGGCACACTTGCCCTGTGAGGCCTCCAGTACAGATCTCAGGTGTGAGCAAAATAATATGAGGTGGAGAGTGTCCTCCAGCTGAGGGGCCTGGAAAATACAAGTTCATGGAGTTGAAGGAATCATTTGGTCTTAGCTACTGTCTTGGCCTAGAATTTACAAAATAGGGGGGCGCCTGGGTGGCGCAGTCAGTTAAGCGTCCGACTTCAACCAGGTCACGATCTCACGGTCCGTGAGTTCGAGCCCCGCGTCGGGCTCTGGGCTGATGGCTCAGAGCCTGGAGCCTGTTTCCGATTCTGTGTCTCCCTCTCTCTCTGCCCCTCGCCCGTTCATGCTCTGTCTCTCTCTGTCCCAAAGATGAATAAACGTTGAAAAAAAAAAAAAATTAAAAAAAAAAACAAAATAGGGATTGGGAGTAGGATCAGCTGTATGCAAAAGTGACGTGGGACAAAGCATTATTCACACATTATGAAAAACAGTACAAAAATTGGCGAACCAGCAATGTGATAACCTCATTTGAGTTTTTGGTATGTGTGTTTTAGCCATCCTCAAGGCTGCCTTAGGTTTGATTGCTTTGGTGAGAAGTGAAGCTTTACTCTTCCTCCTTTCCATTCAGCTCTGGAAGCCTCTTCAGAGTCACTTTTTTATAGACCTATATCCCCTAAATCAGTGCTTTACTTTTCCCAGGTTCACGAGAAGGATGTGATTGGTATTGCACATCACCCTCATCAGAATCTGATTGCAACCTACAGTGAAGACGGACTTCTAAAGCTCTGGAAACCCTAATTCCACTTTTCTTCAACTCGCTTGAGAGCATGTACTTAAGTGAAGAAATATTCATGTATTGCTTTTTTCTTTCTAGGCTACCTTTTCTAAGCAATTGTCTGAATTAGGCACAAGAATAATTTTGTGAAAATTCATGTTCAAGTAGCAGCTACCCTTTTTATATTTTTTTAAGGTATTCATTTATCTGTTTCTAATTGGGGCGGTTATTTGATGTTTTCAGTAGTCTTCTACCTGGAGAGTGAAATACTGCTGTTTCTAGAAGAGAGTTATACTCTTTGATTATTTGAAATGGTGATTAAGACGTATCTCCTACAGTAAAATTGTAAATAAGTAACTATCCCATATTCAGTAGCTCTTTGCTGGTCCATTCTTTTTAGATGTTAATAAACTTTACACCTTTTTTTGGAGGTTTTGTTTTTAAATGTAAATAAGTGCTCATCTAGTTAACATATTTACTAGTTAAGTATGGAGGGTGGGACATAACATTCTAGTCTAGCAGGAAGTCAGTTCCTGTTTAGAAGGATAGACTGAATGTAAAAAGGCCAGGTATTGATAGGATCTCATTTCATTGCCCTTATTGTCCACTCATTCTTCTTAGCTGTGCCTTCTCATGCGTTCTGGCCAACTCCAGAGAACATCATCTTCATCTTCTGGATAGAACTTAGTTGTAGGATACACTATGAGAATTCCACTTTGGCATCTCTGAGGGTTTGGCATTGAAAATGTGCTGTTGTTCTGAAGAAAATTAGAAAAGGACCTGAGATTTAGAGAAGTCTTTTTAGGTATGTGCATCCTTACCAGTTAAAAGCCAGTAAAACTCTTGAAAATACTTTGCAAATGGGGTGTCTTTTATGTTTGAACCAAAGATGTATTGAGTGCGCTTATGTTGATGTTGGAGGGGCCGTGCCAGGTGTCATTTCAAGAAAGTGAGACCTTATTTGTGTAGACCTTTTATGCCTCCTTTTAAGTTTAGCACTCATTAGGTACAAATGAGTGGGGAAAGTTTTTTAAATGATTTACATTGTTGGGGCACCTTGGTGGCTCAGTCGGTTAAGTGTCCGACTCGTGGTTTCAGCTCAGGTCATGATCGTGCAGTTCGTGAGTGCGAGCCCCAGATCAGGCTCTGCGTTGGCAGTGCAGAGCCTGCTTGGGATTCTCTCCCTCTCTGCCCCTCCCCTGCTCGCTCTCTTTCTCAAAATAAACAAACTTAAAAAAACAATGTTTTATAGTGTTCTAATTTGCCTTTGAGTGAAATATAGCCTGATCCTTTGCCTGGCACAATAATGCTCAATATTGGCTGAATTAATCCTTGGCAGCACTAAGAAATCCCTCTTCCTCAGTCATATTCCCAAAACTTTTTTTCCTTTTGCCATTAAACCTGCAGCTTTTTGACAATGTATGCCATTTTGAGTTAAAACATTAGCCATAAATCCATGAATTCAAGTGAATGTAGTTTCACAGCCCAGTGAAAAGTTTTCATGTAAGAAGTTTAAGGTGGAAAGAGGAAACAGCTTGTGCTAAGAATCCTTTAGAAATATCTTCAAGAAATTGGGATTTTATATTTAGCCCATGACCTTGTGAATGGTTGAGCAGTACTGTTAAGAATGAGAAACAACAGGCCTAAAGTGGAGTCCCTTGTGCTGGCCTTGTGCTAAGCTCCACACTGGCCAAGATTTAATACCTACCCAAACTGCAGTTTCGGCCTGTCCCAGGACTGTAATCATTAACCAGTGAATCTGGAATTCAGTATTTATGAGGTAATCTACCTGATAGACCCCCTCTGGCCCCCATAGGAAGGTAACCTTGCCTGAAACAATCCACTCTTGTTAGAGATCTCCTTTTCCCACCCCCTTCTGTGTATAAAAGCCTTTTGTTCTGTGCAGTTCTTCAGAGCTCCTGTTAGATGGGATGCTGCTGGATTCATTAACTGCTGAAGTAAGTCAATTGGATCTCAAAATTTACTCCGTTGAATTTTGTTTTTTTAACAGTAACTTTGTGCTCACGAAGAACAAGAATCTAGTTGGTCAGCACATGTTCACTTATTCCTTCTTGGAATTTTATCAAACATCTGTTCTTGTACCTAGTGCTGAAGATGGCTTAGTAAGACCAGTTCCTGTCAGAACAGGGAAGAAATGCCAGCTAAAAGGTGTAATTGAAATGGTGGGATAGGAGAAGGGCACCTGATAATAAGCCCCACTGAGTTAGGAAAGGCTTCCTGAAGTTGACCATAAAAGGACCAGCAGGAGCTGTGGGTAAAGGGGTTTGGTGGTCAAAGTTAGCTGAAGGAGACTTCCAGGCACTGCAGTGTGGGATTCTTGCAATGCATGCAGTGTCTTGGGAGACCAGGTGAAGAGAAGCCTGGATTGAGAGTCATTAAATGTACCTTTTTTCTTAAATGAATTAACATAACAAAAGTAAAAAAAAAATTAAGTCTTCTGCCTTTCCCAGGAAACCCTTGTGCAACTGTCTAACTTCCTTTTGTACAAACCTAAAAGGTATTTGCACTTACTCTGCACATAGCTTTTCTTATGGGAGGAGCCCCAGGGACTGAAGCTGAGGTGAGAGAAGGGCCACCCTGGCTTCTGGACTCCCATGCCAGCCCATACCACTGTCCAGCTCTCTGTGAGCTGCTTGAGGGCCTTAGACCCTCTAGGCACACAGTGGGGTCTCTGTGCCCTTGTTCCAGGTCTGGGTAAAGCAGAGCAGTGCTGGAACCTGGCTGGCCTGCATCCTTGGGCTAGGGAGTCTCTGATGAGCTGTGGGTGCTGTGCACTGGCTGGAGCCAATGGTCAGAGGCTGGAGGTGTCTGTCTGATGGTACCACTGGACTGCTTTTTCACTTTACAAAGAGATGGCAGAGATCATGTTTGTTGGCCTCTTAACCAGTATCAACGGGAGAGGATAAGCAAATGGGAGTTTGATGGCAGTAACCAATGGCATACAGCAGTCCCTCATCTGGTTTCAGTTACATGCAGGCAACTGCGGCCCGAAAGCAGATGATCCTCCTCCTGACTTAGCATCAGAAAATCAAATGGAGCCTAACAGCATGTCATAATGCTTTAATCATTCACCTCTCTTCATCTCATGTGGGCATTTCATCTCACATCACAACGGTGAGTACAGTACTATTTTGAGACCACATTCACCTTTTATTACAGTATGTTCTTATAATTGTTCTATTTTGTTTTTGCTATTAATCTTACTGTGCTAAATTTATAAGCATTATAGGTAGGTATGTAGGTATAGGGAGAAACAGTGCATAGCGCTCAGGACTCTTCTAGGTTTCAGACCTCCACTGGGGGTCCTGGAACATATCCAAACTGTGTGGCAGGGTGGGGGCAGAGGTGGACACCCGCATTCTTCCGAAAACATGTTCCATCAGGTAGCTAGGAAAGTAGGTACTCTGCTGCAGCCTACAGATACAACTGGTATTTGTCTCCAACACTTACAACTTAAAATACACAGCAGTAAAGTTTCCTTCAGTAGGGTAAGGATATTTGCCCTATTCCCCATTCAGTTGTGAAATTTGTATTTCTGGGGGCACCTGGGTGGCTCAGTTAAGTGTCCAACCCTTGATTTCCACTCAGGTCATGAGTTTTGTGGGTTTGAGCCCGTCAGCAACTGGGCTATCAGCACAGAGCCTGTTTGGCTCTCTCTGCCCTTTCCCCATTGGTTTCTCTCAAAATAAAAAAATAAACTTGTGACTCTGGATACATTGAAATCTGAGGATGGGATTTCAAGGCAACCTTTCTTTAAATCTCAGGTACAATTATTTTCTTCAGTTGCTTTTCAACTTGTACTAAAAGCCCTTCCTTCCTATGTAAGCAGCCCTGTTTAATTCTCTGAATTACTCTTATGAAGTACAGCCTATTATGATTTCCATAATACACATGAAGAAAGGGACTTCCAGAGGTTCCCATACCTTGTTTATGGAGCACACACTGAAAGCCAGGTGCAATTCCAAAGCTCAATTTCTTTATTCTTTGAATCTGGCTGTTAGCTGCTTCTCTTTAGGTCTGGGAACAGGCAAAGAATGCATGAATTGTGTCTCCACAATCCATTACAATTTATTTACCTAACCTGGCCACAGGAAGTGAGATGAGTAAAAGAGCACTGAATGACAACTGGGACTGCAGTTTTTACCGTTAACTTACTTGGGCCAGAGCAGTGGTTCTGTCATCCAGTAAATAAATCAAAGGTAAATTTTCAGGTCCTGTCCCTGACCTATGGAATCTGCAATCGTGGCACTGGGGCTCATCAACCGTGCTGTTTTGAGATCCAGAACACTAGAGGGCAGTTTCTCCACTCCTAAAATGGATGTTTTGATTCTTGTTCTGCCTCACAAGGTTGTAGATATAACCCAGTTAAGTGATAACTGTTCAGGACTTAAGAAACCCTTGAAAGAGCATCTTTATTTTGCTGTAGCTTGTTAGCAGTTTCATTCACTGTATTTTTACACCCTACATTTTTCCCACATTATTTCAAAAAAGATACTGTGATGAAGTGTACATCTAAGCTGGGAAGCTCCCTGGTCTGAGCCTCAAACTTCTAACTGCAGTGTCAAAGGCTGCCATTATTGGACTTTCTCTTACCAATGCATTATCCTAGATGGTTAATAGGACTATGTCCCTATGTTGGTAGTGTTAAACTTTGGCTGTTGACAAACATCTTGGTGCTTAAGCTATTACACCCAGCTCCATGATGTTAAAATCCTGGCGTGGGGTGGGGGTGGGGCTCACATGTTTTTAGTTTCCCAGGTAACTAAGTGTAGCCATGGTTGAGAAGCAGTACCATATGCAGAAAAAGACCTGATGCTAATTTCACATACAGGAAGATCTGCCACCATGTTCCATTAGCACCCTCATGGGACATTCTTATTCCCTACAAGTATGAGTGGATGGGGAAGGCATCAGAGCAAGCATTAGTGCTAGGGCCAGGAACTCCACTTGTGTGGATGCACATGCATTCCTGTAGCAGACTTGGTCAGAGCTGTTAAGAGATGACCTTGGTCCAAGTTCTCAGGGGCAGCTTTTAGACTACAAACTGTTTCTGCCTTTCCTGGTTAACTATTTCCTTTTCAGATTTCTAGCTTTCTTTTATTTTTATACTGTATAATTCAGTAGCATTGCATTAATAACATTCACAACCTTGTAGAACCATCACTGTTTATCTGAAACTTTATCACAACCAATTAAGCATTAACCATTCATTCCTCTTCCCCCTAGCCCTTGGTAACTGGTCTATGAATTTGCATTGATAGGTCATTTAGTACACATACAATAATTTGTCCTGTCACACACGCACCATCACATTTTGTCCATTAGTTGGGTATGGGTTTGCTCCCCCTTTGGCTACTGTGAATTTTACAGACAACACTGGCAACAAGTATCTCACTTAGCCAAGGAGTCAGTTACTAACTGTAGGCTTTTTGAGAAACTGCTCAACTTTTACACCATTTTACATTCCTACCACTGAGGTACTGGGATCCAATTTCTCCACGTTTTCACCTATTTTCATTTTGGATTAGTAGGTGTGAAGTAGTATTTCACTGTGGTTGTAATTTATAGTTGCCCTCAATGACTGATGTTAAACACGAGGATTTCAATTTTTTAAGATGTTATATGTATTACAACTCAGGGTTCTTTGGAGAAATGTAAGATTTCTGGTCATACTTTGTTGTGCTTTCCTGAGTACCTGGCATCATACCCAAACACAAGGGTAGCTGTATGGTACTGACTAAAAATGACAATCTAAAAATAACAGGTTACTAATTATTTCACTATGACAAACACTGGAAGTGTGAAAACTTTATGTTTTAGTTTCTCCTTTTTAACTCAAATGTGCTCTATGAGGGGAACTTAGATGTGGGCCACTTCTGGAGAAATGTTTAACCTTACTGATTACAGGAGATGCAGCAGAATCAGGATAAATGGGTAAAAACTTTCACATTTTCACACCAGTGTTTGCAAAGTTTTTAAAAACCCTTTTGGCTCATTACTTACCCCTCACCCACTTTCACTCCCCACCCTTGTTTAACATTCAACTATAGTTAAGTACCATTTTCAATTACCCATTTAACTAGTTAAATGACAAATTACCTATCTTAATTAATGAAAAGCCAATGCTTTTAATCTAGGGGAAAAAAAAGCCTGTAGTGACACACTGGAAATGCTTTGTAATCAGTATATTAAGGAGACATTCATACATTTCAAGAATTGCTTAATTCTGATATCCAGATTTAAGCTTGTGAACATGACTTTTAAACATACAATTAAAGCTATTCATCATAATTTGCTATACTACCAACATTAAATTACAGTTACTTCGGAGCGTAAGTTAAATTGTTTAAAGTAAGCCTGTAACATACCTAAAAAACACCTTCCTAGCTCATACATGCAAATTTACTTTTCTGTGTAAATATCTCTTCACTCTAAGTTACCCTGCTCCCGAAGTCACTACTCTGAAGCTTATCATGGTCCAAAGAGAAGGAAAAAAAGTGTAACCAGGACTGGTGTGTGTGTTTGTGTGTATATATATATATATATATATATATAAAATATATATATATTAAAAAAAAAAGATGGCACAGAAGGGAATGCAGTTCTACAAGTGCAAGCCCTCAAACAGCAGATTATGATAAACCCCTTCTTTAGAAAGGTATCCTTTCCACCACTGATACCACAGGCCAAATTACACAGCATGCCATCTTTAAGTAACAGTTGAGGCAACAGAA